TGCAACAACAGTCGATTTTCAGCAATTCAAGGGCTGCCCTACAACCTGTGCTCTCAGCACTGCGTCGCGGGCCATAAGAACAGCTTGTTTTCAAAATTCGATGCCTTCTCCACACTTCACACGAGAAAGGGCATCATCTGACATTTCAGTGGCTGCCAAGTCACTACGGCATCATAGGAAATGAACATGCCGATACTGCCGCGCGGGCAGCTCTTCAAGGAACACGAGAAGAAGCCATACCACTTTTGCGGACCGATGCAGCCAGTATTCCTTGACGACTTGGGCGTGAAATCACGTTTTCACTATGGTGCCCACCATGCAACAAGACGAATCGACAACACGACCTGTCCTCTTTCATGGCTCTCCGCATGCCCACTGGGCTCGACCGAAGAGAAGCCACCCTTCTTCATCGCTTATGGCTAGGAGTGACATTGACAAAATCTTATTCCTTTGTCATAGGAATAGCCAACAGCGCTCTCTGCGATGCCTGTCATTGCGAAGAGACGCTACACCACATCCTGTGCGACTGTCCATTGTATGACATCCAGAAACAGTCACTGGCGTCCCTTCTTGCGCGCATCGACAACAGCCAAATGTCTGTGGACACTATTCTGTCAAGTGCCTAAGAGAAGACATTGCAACAGAAGACAACAAAAGCCTATTGAAATTCCTACGCGACATGGACTTGAACAAGCGGCTGTAACAGCAATGTCACACACCGCGAAAGTCAAGACTGGACTATGACCGAGTGTGTGCGCGTGTGCTGCCGAATTTGCTGTGTTTATCTCTCTTCCCTCTCTGTTCTCTATATTCCATCTCCCCCTCCCATGCGCAGGGTAGCAAACCGGCTGCCTATGGGCTAGTTAACCTCCCTGCCGTTCTTTTCCTCCTATTTTCCTTCTCTCCGGACATTTCGTGCGTGCGTCGGGAGTGAGTCAGATTTCTCCGGGACAGCTTACGGTGAGCACGCACTTCTTTTTCATCCGTCGACTCCTATTGTTTGGGGGCTCGTTAGACTTCGCCAACGGCGCCTCACGCCTGCGGCGAACGCTCACCTTTTGTTGCCTTTTTGTGAACCGAAGAGCGGTGCGGTGTCTTAGTGCATGGCCAGGCTACGCTAACTCGTATCTTTCCGAAGCCAACGTGAGCGCCTTTATTCTCACTCGAGCAACCGGGCCTCTGTCCCACTGTACATGTAAATCACTTTTATCATAAGGACGTGCTTGCGGCACCCCTGGGTAGTTTCCTCGTCCGTGGCATGGATAAGCCCATTCGCTTTCTCGCGGCGCCTTTGGAACAGGCTCTGTACTGCGTGTTGGTGTCGCTGCAGACAATAAAATATTGCGACCTTGAACAGTATTGTGTTCTCGCCACGGTTACGGCTAACGCGTGCCCTGTGGCTCGCTAAGACCGGACCCACGCTAGTGGCTGTAATTCTTCAGGATATGTGTACACTATACTGGCGCCCAACACGGTATCAAAAGTTTTAAGCTTTTGACTGCTCTTTGCGAGTCAGTTCGCCTGCGCGATTCGGGCTCGTCGCAACATACCTGCTTTGTGGCGTTTCTGTCCGCTGACCTTTTTAGGCGGATGCCGCGTTTCACAAAGAGGTCACCGCCTCTATCGACGGGCACCCTTCAGCACCCGTCCGTGTCATCACCCCCTATGTGGTGAGCACACAACCAACGTAGTAGCTGACACGCTATCTCGTTCCCCCTGTTGTCTGCCGAGAACCTTGATTCCAGTACAACAGCCGCTTACGGTGCCTTCGCACAAGCTAGCGTCGGGGGCGAGACAGCAGCGAAAATGGGGAGCCCCCATGCGGACGACCTTAGCTGCTATCCAGGTAAGCGGCGCATCGCCTAGCGACCGAGCGGGGGAGCTTTCCGAAGGCCACAGTGCTGAGAGCGAAAAACGTGACGCCGTGCACGCGGCGGTTGCTGCAGTCCTGAGTGGGCACGATACCCGACTCCCCCTTTTGGGTGAATTGGAATCGCTTTCGGCAGTGAACAGCTACTGAAGGCTCAGCAGGGTGATCTGTTTTGAGTCTCGAAGAGACGCGGAGCGCCAATACACTGCTTGTTCTGTGGCGGGCGCGATTAGAGGGCTGAGACAGCGTTTGTCCCCGAGTCCCCGGCAGATTCATTTTGCTGGACCATGAGGGGCTCCTGCTGAACTATATTGCCACCGGCGAGAAGTCTGCAGATCCGTTTAAGGTGGCTATGCCCAAAAAGTCTGAGAGCCGCACTGCTGCGATCCTCTCACGACGAACTCGCAGCCGGTCACCTGAGTGGCTCGAAAGTTTTTGTAAACTGAGCAATGTTGTAGCCTGGCCCGGCACAAAGCGTGACATTTAACGCTATTCCGTGCCTGCCATGTCTGACAAAGGGTGAAACCAAGGGTTGGTAAGCCTCTAAGTCTTATGAAGCGATAGTCAGTGAGCGTCCGTTGCACGTCCTTGCTGAAAGATCCCCTTTTTGGGAAAACTCCGTCATGCCCACATCACAGACCTGAAGCCTTTTGTCACGGTCTGACGAGCTCGTGCCAGCACCCAGCGGCACTTCGCACAAGCAACAGGGCACACCCGGGGTGGCGGACCGCATTCGGACCCCGCACCGGTATAATCTGAGGAAGCGGTAACCTTTGTGATTTTGCGCCAGACGGCGGACTTCTCCACAAGCGAAGGCCCTCAGTTTACTGTCTAGCCTCAGTATCGGTTGGCTTCTTTACGGCCTGTCCTCGTAAGGAAGTCAACCCTGCCCAGTTTGCTGCCAGTGTTTCTGTTTTTTTTAAGTGTTCATGTGTATCCTATTTTTCTTTTGTCTAATATTAGGTGTTCATTTGTATTTTATGTTTTTATGTTCACTTGGCCAAATATTGAGTGTCATTTTTGCCCTGTTTTATCACTGTTCGCGCTGTATTTCGGCTACCGGCGAAGGGAGTAAGGGAGTTATGACCTTGAACATTGGTGCTTATGCGTGGAGAGAGGGACAAAGGACACTTTGCGCCTTTGCTCACGCAGCCGTCGGCAGTGTGTGTGTGCATACTTTTGTGCGTGTGTACATGCATAGAGCTTCTGTGCGCGCCCAAAAAGAGTGCATGTCGTGGTTTCATCCAGTTGACGTGGACAGTAGAGGTGCTGGGTGCTGGGGGCACTGACCTACTGACGCCATATAGTCCGGCTGTGCCCTGCTCTCGGCCGTCGCCGAGAGGCCCCGCTGCTCCTTTTCCACCATGGCTCCTGCGCGAGGCCAGCTGACACAGCTATATGCTGCTGGCCAACACCAGGGCCCCTCGCAGCCAAATTCAGTTCGGCTTCCCTGAACGCCGGCAAGGCCCGGCTTCCCAGCGAGGTTTCCCCGTCTCCATCGAGAAATGCAGGGCCTCCAAACCACAACCAAAGCGGCGTTCATCGGACACGCTGATCAATCATCAACAGCAGCCACGAACCATCAGTGAGCCCCTTCTGTGCCTCTGACCTCGCACACGGCCATCGCACCCAGCGAAGATTGTCACGCTCTTCAGCCTTTCCGTGCGGTGGACGCTATCCTGCCTCAGCACAATGAACTCTAGCTTTACCTCCTTTGCTATTTTTTTTTCGCAAACATGTTATAGTGTAATGTGTTTATTTTATTGTTATTGTTTTTTTAGCAGCATTTTACAGGGCTGGACTGAGGTTAGCTGTTGCTCATAGCAGTGTCATTTTAACTGTATGAGTGACGTCCGGCTGCCTTTGCAGACTGGTAAAGGGCAGATTTAGGAGAGGGGATGTGGGAATTCAGGCTAGCCCGCCACCTTTGCACGGGCTTTGCCACATATTTCTGCCGTTCTCATGTCCCGACATGACTCCCCTCCTCCGCTGTCTGCTGCGCTGGGGGGAGCGAGGAGTGACGTTGAACCCATTTCACCCGGGAGCGGATGTCGACTTTGGCGCAGTGCGCAGTCTCTCAGGACATTTCGCGCGCGCGTCGGGAGTGACTCAGATCTTTCTGGGACAGCTTACGGTGGGCACGCATTTCTTTTCCATCTGTCGACTCCTATTGTTTGGGGGGCTCATCCAACTTTACCAGCGGCGCCTCGCGCCCGCGGCGAATGCTGGCCTTTTGTTGCCCCTTTGTGAACCGAAGAGCGATGTGGTGTTCTAGTGCGTGGCCAGGCTACACCAACCCGTATCTTTCTGAAGCAAACGCAAGCGCCTTTGCCCTCGCTCGTGCAACTGGGCCTTTGTCCTGGTGTTCCTGTGAATCACTTTTACCATAAGGACGTGCTCGCGGCACCTCTGGGTAGTACTCCTCGCCCGTAGTGTGGATAAGCCCATTTGCTTTTTCGGCGACGGTTAACGCGTGCACTGAGACTCGTTAAGACCGGACCGACGTTAGTGGCTGTGATCCTTTGGGATACGTGTACACTACAAGCTTTACACTTCTATCCGGCAGTACAGCAATAGAAATGTTAGAATTTATGGATGATTTGTGCTGGCCTAAAAAGAATGGAAGCTAAAGCTTTCATACCGTCTGAACAAGAGCTTCTTGAGCATCGCCATAATGCCCAGTGAACTGCAATCAGTGTGCTTTATAGGGATACACAACAGTTTACAGAGAGGCTCCTTGTCTTGATGCAAAGGTGTATAATTCAGTTGAATAATAAGCATAATTCCATACACTAAGAAGATAGATAAGAGGCCAACAATGTACTGTCTATGCAAGCTGTAATCCTGACATCATTGCTTAGTACCTATAACCATTCTGTGGTCATCTGTATATGGTAACAGAGTGCTGATAAAGAATTGCTGCTGTGACAAAAATACCGTACCAGTGCATGAATGCCAGCGAAATATTTACCAGTAGGAAACAAAATGCACGGTTGCAAATGGCGTGTTGGTTATCCAGTGTTTCAACCAGATTTTCACCATGGCTTAACAAATAAGAACAAGCACTGTTGAAACTTTATGCTCACATGACCATTATAGACAAATTTGACAAAAGTGGCTAGCAACTGACCTAACACCAATGTTGAACATTTCAAGCAGGGGCCTGCCTTGGATCCAGCCCAAAAGCATGATAAGACCAATAATACCAAATGAATATAATGACAGCTGTTTGCCTAAGCTGTCCATACTCCTTTGCAGAGGTGTTTTTGGTGCCTGGAAACAGAAAGAATAGAATGAGTCAATTACACGCCTAATCTCATCCCAATGCTTGTAAAGCTTACAAAAATGCGCGAGCCCTATCCAGAAAAACAAAGCGAAGCCACCCTTGCATGTTACCGATTATGATGGTATAATTTGTGAGGGTTATGTGTGAAAACTGCTACACAAATAAGATGTGCGCTGTAGTAAGATACTCTGATTAATGGTGAACACTCGAGGCTCATAATACATGCACGCTTCAATTTAAGCACACAAAATTTCTTGCATTTTGCCTCCATGTAAATGTGGCTGAGAATTGAAACTGCATCCTCAAACCGGCATCACAACTCTTCCCTAAAAAGGCTACCATGGCTTTGCATGATACCATGGTGAATACAATGAGTACAGTTACGGAGGTATCTGGGTCTCGAAAAAAAAAAATAATTTCTTTTCTTATCTTAATCAAAATTGACAAGTGTGTGTATCTTCAATGAAAATTACAAGTCTGCTGACAAATTACAAATATCTTATCTAGACAGGAAGTAATAACAAGTTTTTACATTGTAATCAGGTAATTTATTACAGGCAATTGTGATAACTTAAAATACAAACATTTACTTTTTTGAACTACGTAATTTTTTTTTAAAAGGTTTCCCCCCTCAGGCTAAAGCAAATTAGATGTCAAAAGAGCTATTTCTTTGACCAAAAATAGTTTTCAAATTAGGAAGATAAATATAAACCAATAAAAATTAGCTAGTACTTATTAAATAATTACAAGTGCATCAAGGCTGCGAGAAAAAAAAATGCTTTAACCTGTAGTTCAGTTGTTTGAAAAAACCGGGGATTGATTTAAGTTTATTAAATATATGCTTATGGCCACTTCTTCAAAACTTCTGCAAGGCAGAGGCACTTCATAAAAATAACAAAGCCAAGAAACTCTCGTTTCAAGTTTTGAGAACACTTGTAATTTAATGGGACACTAAAAAAGAACAGTGACTTGGTTTAGATTGACAAACTACACTCTGCGGGCTCTAATGCCATATGTTTCACTATCAGCAGGGAAAATAAAAGTTGAAGTATCATGATTAAATTCTGTGCCAAAATCTCTGTGCATGACGTAAAAAATTTCCACTTTTTGCACTTTTCAAGTTTTCTCTTAAGAAACTTCAAAATGTATTTTCAGTATTTTGTCGCATTGGCTTATTCAAATTTGTGAAACTTAGTATGCTATGTCTATGGCACCTACACATTACAATGTACCCCATTTTTATCGATTTGAAGCTACATAGGACCCCAGTAGACACCTTCCAAATTTCATATGTCGTGGTGTTTGGTGCAGGAATCTCAAGGGGACGTTGCCACCCGCATTTTCTTTTTGCGCGTTCTCTTGATAAGAGAACGTGATAAGAGTGGAGTTTTCAGAATTGTGATATTGTACTTTACTAATATGAGAAAAGTCATTTTGCTCTTTAGTGTCCCTTCAATCTATTGAACCTGCAAGAAAAAAAAAGGGCTATTAAATTGAAGTTTAGTATTGAGCTTCAGTATCATATTTTTTCAAAGCATAATTTGGACTACAGTTACTTTGGAATTGCAATTTATGAAAACTGACTCATTTTACGATTTTTTGGCAGTTTCAATCTCTTGTCTACTTAAAATTTCAGTAATGATAGCAGGCCACTGGCATATGCGGTAATGCGAACAAGGCCTCACTGTCGTTGAACCAACATTACTCCTATATGCGGTGTTGTGAAATGGGGCCGAGTTCATTGAAATCGGCAGCTTTTGCAGACTCCATGAATAGGGGACATCTTATAGAAAGTCAGTGAGTGGCCACAATATTACCTCAGTTTTTGACAAGATAACAAAAAAAGAAGCAGAGTCCTATGTAACTAGAAATGTGACAGGTCTAGTGGGGAATCGGAAAGTCTATAAACAGAACGAACTATCTACAGTATTCACGGAAAGGAAAGGGGCAATTTAGGGCTAAGTGATGCACATATTTTCGTTTCCGCCCTCTTCAGTACGGGTCATATTGGCATATTTTTTAATCAAATGCCTAGATCGGAGCAAATATTGTCTTTAGAGACAATATGCATCGCAACATCAAGTAGTTACCGTATAAACCGGAATATAAGTCGAGATTTTTTCAATAAAGTAATAAGCTAAGGTCGCCCCTCGTCTTATATAGCGGTGTCTAACCGAAAGTGCAACGCTGTCTGGCAATATATGGCTTGCATGTGCTTGTGAAGCCAGACGCGGCCATATCCGCATCCAAATCCAATCGCAGTCTGTTTTTTTTTTTTGTGTTTGTGATTTGCTTCCGATCTGTTCAGAGTTTTCGCTCAGCTTGACATTGCCCTGCATTTTTAGTGGCCTTTTTTTTTCGTTCACTGAATATGTCCAGCGGTACGAGGAGGCAGTACTCAGCTGCTTTTAAACTAGATGTTAAGTTCGCAGAAGCGAACGGGAATATGACTGCTCAGTGCCGCTTTGGTGTATCAGAAAAAAGCGTGCGCTATTGGAGGGCACAGAAAGGGAAGCTGCAGATGTGCAGTCCGCGAAAAATGTCGTTTCGTAGACGAAGGGCCGTTCATCCACAGCTGGAGGATAAGCTAGCGGACTTTGTGCGGGAAGTTCGTGCGCGCTCGCTGCCAGTGACCGTGAATACCATTCATACCATTCGCAAGAAAGCAGTGGAACTCGCTCGGGAAGCTGGGCTCACGAGAGAAGAGCTTCGTGCACCGAACTCTTGGGTGCGTCGATTCATGCGACGCAAAGAATTTTCTCTCCGGCGGCGCACATCCATCTGTCAAAAGTTGCCGGAGGAGTTCGAGGACAAGCTCATTAACTTTCGGCGCTTCGTAAACCGGCTTCGGGAGCAGAACGACTACATGATGGGGAGATTGACAACGCCAATGAGACCCCCGTGTGGTTTGACATGCCTTCGTCGACCACGATCACGCAGCGCGGTGCTAAGGATGTGAAGCTGCTGTCCACTGGCAACGAGCACTCGCGCTTCACCGTCATGCTGGCATGCACGGCAGATGGTAGAAAGCTTCCGCCCTTTGTCATTTTAAAACGCAAGACAATGCCGAGGGAAGTGTTCGCGCCCGGTGTTGTCGTTCGCGTCAACAAAAAGGGATACATGGACGAGGCCATGATGCTCGAATGGATACGAGTGGTGTGGAACCGTCGGCCAGGTGCACTGCTGCGTCTTCGCAGCATGCTGGGGTTGGATGCGTTTCGTGGCCACTTCACTTGACTGCCGCAGTGAAACGCGCACTCGGCGACGGGAAAACGGACCTCGCCGTAATACCAGGCGTATGACGTCCACCCTCCAGCCGCTCGACGTTGTACTAAACAAGCCGTTCAAGGACCGAGGGCGGCTGGAATACCAACAATGGATGTCCGGCGACAACCCCAAGACACCGACGGGCCGCCTACAGTGGCCTCCGCTTGCGACTGTTTGTGGCTGGGTGCTTTCCGCCTGGCGCTCCTTGCCGGATTGCATGGTGGAAAATTCTTTCAAGAAATGTTGCATCAGCAACTCGCTGGATGGCCCTGAAGACGACGCACTGTGGGAGGCGGCCAGCTACAAACTCTCTTCTTCAGAAGGCAGTGGTGCTTCGTCGGACGAATGGGAGCAGTTGCGATGGTGGTAGAGGGGAGCTCCGACGATCGGGATGCGGTGCGCCCAATTCGCGAATAAATATGGTTCGGCAGTTTTGGGTTGTTTTCCTTTTTTTTCGGTAACCTGAACTTGGGGCGTTGACCTATATTCCCACTCGACCTATAGTCCGGTTGATACGGTATGTCAGGCAACTGAGCATACCAGTCATTACACTAAAAAACTTGATGTTGCATTTGAATATGTGAGGGCTTTACATCCGGGACCGGCCAGACACCTGTAGCATCGACATTTATCGAAATGCCAAATGGCACTGAAATGAGTCCCTAGTGTGAAGACAGGCTTAATGAAAGTAAATAAACTAAAGGTGTTGTTGCTTTCATTAAAATTAATTTCTTCTTTTCTCGCACTTTCACATTTTGTGATAAAGTTGACAGTCTTGTGTTTCAGCTATTCCTCTGGCTCTTTGGTAGAGTCATGTTGAGTCGACATTTTTGCTATGTGGAGAAAAATAATGCCAGAATCGCACAAGTAGATTTGTGTGCATTAAATTGGGTCTGAAAATGTATTTAAAAATTTTGAAGCAGCCTTTTGTTAAGTGCAAAGTTGAACCTCACCTCTTCAGCTTGCATCATCTTGAATATGTCCCCAAACTCGGATTTCTCGCCTGTGTTTATCACAATGCCCTGAAACACAAAGATAGTCTAAATTTTAGAAAGTCTTTAGGTGTTTCACAAGATGCCTCAGTTAACTTGTGCCAAAAATAATATCGAAACAGTAATGGTCTCCGATCTCAGCGGTAACTCAAGTATATCTATGATGAAACTGAAGAACAGAAAGACGACATAATTAGCCAACCATCACATTACCTCTATAACCACAAAAAATTTGATCCATAATCAAAATGATGTATTGAGAAATGATGTACCGATGCAATGCACGAAGTGCAAGTAGTGTGTGACAATGGCAGTGATACTCCCCAAAATAACGGCAGTTACCTCAAAATGTGATCATCGACAGCTTGTTTATGCAGCTAATTTACTTGTAATGCAGGCTACTTGAAACATATTTCATAGTGCTAATGTTGCAACATAAGAGCACCTAGTCATGTGGCATATTGTCAAATATTGTACCCCTTTTTTGGTGCTATAAAAATTTTCCCTAATGATAGGCACCATTTTCAGAAACTATTTGCTATAATTGTTCTAATATGTTGTGATGATAAGTGTTGGGGCTTTACATCCCAAAACCACAATATGACTATGAGGGATGTCGTAGTGGAGAACTCAGGAAATTTTGACCGTTGTGTGTTTTTTAACATGCACCTGAATGTATGCACACGGGCCTCGAGCACTTTGCCTCCAACAAAATGCAGCTGCTATGGTTGAGATATGATTCCGCAACTTTCATGTCAGCAGTCGAGCAGTATATCCACTAGACCACTGGGGGTAGGTTCAATATACTAGAAATACAATAAAACCTGATTATAATGAAATGGGCAACTAATGAAATGGGCAATAACAAAATAATAGATATAACGAGCGATTTGTAGTTCACCTTGAATATCCACATAAAAATAAATGCACAGTAAAAGCTCATAATTCGGACGTCAGGAGACTGTAAAAAATGCTCAGATTAACCAAATGCAAAATTACAGAAGGTATCAAGAAAACAATTAACAAATGTCTCTTACATCAACACACTTTTTTTTCTTGATGAATATGTGTATCCTGTACTTACCTTGAATAAGAGCACCAAAAGCCACAATGTCCGTCATTCTGAGACAGTTCTCAACGCCGCCGTCACCACCACCACCACGCACACATAACAAAAGTTCTTCCACAGTTAAATTAGCCAGCAACTGATAGTTCGTCTAGGACGATGTAGCAAAGAAGTTACATGCCAGCACACCAACCACGGTTGAAAGCTCTTCATTTTCAACATCTTTCACCATGTTTGAGTTCTGTTATTGCGTGCACATTGCATGAAGTTAAAACAAAGCCACTGAGTGCTGGATCCGCATGTGCACAAAAACGCGGTCACTGGTCACGAACTTAACATTGCAATGCGGACAGCACCTCTTTGTTCTGATTGTCTAGGATGCAATTATTGCTCTTTTGCCTTGCACATTTGTGGCACTCCATGCCTTCTGAAATCCAAGGGTCATCCGAATTAATCGAGTTGCAGGAAAATGGGACCGAATTAAAGAGAGTTCGATGCCACTAAAAGGGCCCTACAATACGTTTTTTGTCTGCATTCTGCAGCGCTGAAGTGAATGTAGTGCTGAATACCGAGATGAATGCAAAAAGAATTGTTGAAACTGGTGCACAGTAACAGAAGTTATTAGTCTTCAAACTTGTAAGTAGGTGCGTGACCTTTTGGTTCGATCTCTGAAATGCACCTATTTTGTAGTTTTCCACCACGCGGAGAGATTATATTTCACCCCCCATTTGTTTTGGGTAAGTACAGTGCAAACTGCACTAACAGTAAATTTCTGCAGTGACTACAATGCAAAATTGATTGTAACGAGCAAATCACGGTGGCACTTCAATTTCATCACTCGCAGGTTGAACTATATCAAGCAACACAATGAGCATAAGGATAGTGATGCCAAAGCCATAAAAAAAAAACTTTCTGATCACTTGCGTGACGAATAGAGGCAAGTTTACAATGAAAGAGCTAGATAAAAAATGATGACATTTCTAACCCTGCCATTGCCATAACGAACAAGTGTCCCCATAAAGGCCAGGTTGCGCTTGGAGGCAATACCATTGCCTGCTTTTTCCAGTGGTGAAGTCACCTTGGCCGCTGGTTCAGTTTCCCCTGTGAAACTGCTTTCATCAATCATTAGGTCGACAGCCTGCGCAGAATTGTAACAAATTTGTCAACTTAAAGGAGCACTGACACAAAAATATTACACAGTTTTTTTTTTTTTTGATGCAATAGGTAGCTTATCACCCACTGCGCTCAGTCGCAGTTTTTGTTTCAAAGAACTCTGAGCTGGGCAGGAGCACTTCTGGTTACAAGGCAAATACAGCTGGTCGTGTCACCATGAAAAACTGTGATGTGGGCATCGCACACGAGAGCGTGCACCGCACCGACAGCCAGTACAGCCAGCAGAGGCAAAGCCGAAGGAAGAAATCGCACGTAGTGCAAGCACTACCTGCAATTGCACAAGGCATGTGCCAAGCAGACAGCCAACGTCGCGAGGGGCTTCGCATCTCGCTCAGTCATGCGGCATGCACTTTAAAATTTATTTTAAATATGTTCTAGGCTATATTTACCCTTAATATTTCACAGATGTTGTTTGCGTCTTTAGGTAAGTCTATAATACTCATCTTACCTTCAAATCTTTTGCCAACAGATTTAGTTGCGCGTCTGCAGCAGCCGTAAGAATGCAGCGTCCCATTGCGAATGGCAGCAGGCTGCGTCCCCACGGCTGCTGCAGACGCACAACTAAACATGTCTAGTGCTCTTTAAGGTTCAATCATAATTCTTGAAACAAACCGCCACAAGTAGGTTGCTAGGCATGGCACTCACACACACGTTGCACTCAATACAAAGTTTCCAGTAACAGCAGGGTCCTTCGATACATTTTACTGGTCATGAAACTCCAACGTGCCTTATGGGGAGGGCTTCATATACCGCCTGCACTTTCCGTGCCATGGCACTGGCATAACTAGAAGGGGGACGAGGAAGCCATGATTGATTGATTGATATGTGGGGCTTTACATCCCAAAACCAACATATGATTATAAGAGACACTGCAGCGGAGGGCTCCGGAAACTTAGACTACCTGGGGTTCTTTAACGAGCATCCAAATCTGAGCACACGGGCCTAAGGCATTTTCGCCTCCATCGAAAATGCAACCGCCGGAATGACGAAGCCAGCTGCTGCTGGCCAAAGGTCTTCCAAACCAAGTTCATCAAAGGTCTTCTAAACCAAGACTTCATACGTGATGGAGCGTGCTGTTAGATCCCTCGTCGTCCTCTCGACCACTCTACCTCCTGGAGCTACGTTCAGGTAGCCGCTTGGGCGAGGTCTCCGGAAATATATCGCACCAAGATGAGGTCGGTGCTGCAGCCGTTCCCACTCCGCCACCGCGTGTCGAGCCTTCTCACGTCATTAACAGCCTCCAGCGTGAGCCCCATCCCTTCGCTGGTATGCGGGAGGAAGATGTGGAGGAATGGCTGGACAATTTCGAACGTGTCAGCGCTGCTAACCGGTGGGATAACACCTACAAACTCGCTCACATCTCATTCTACCTCACGAGTGTGACGAAGACGTGCTTCTTCAACCACTTCCCCAACTGGCCAACCTTCAAAGATCAGCTTCGCCATGTCTTTGGCACACCGGCTGTTTGTTCGGCTCTCGCAAAGAAAGCTCTCGCGAATCGGAAACAGCACATCGGGGAGTCGTATACATCCTACATCGAGGATGTTCTTTCACTTTGCCGCCGGGTTGACACACCAATGACAGAGTCAGATAAGGTACACCAGCTTCTTAAGGAAATTGCACCCATCGCATTCAATGCCCTTGTAATCCAGAATCCGGCTACCGTTGTGACAACCTGTCAGCACCTCGAAGAACTTGAATCTAAGTGCCTGCAACCAGACAGTGACGCGGCCCGTATTACGGCGGATCGAAACCTACAAGACACGATAAGGGTGATTAAACGTGAAGAATTAAGATCAATGGGATTCACACTACCCTCATTGTGTCCCATTCAGTCTTCTTCAACGTCATTGCGGTATGTCATCAGGGAGGAGCTCACGTCTATGACCCACATGGCCCACCTGCAACCCACTGTCACTCTTACTCTCCCATCGTTCTCGCATGCCGCCGCCGCGCCATCAAGCAACGTCAGCTCGACGTCGCCGCCACAAACGTACGCGTCGGTTGCTGCCGCACCTCCCACAAGCTTTCCCACCAGCTTTCCACCACCACCGCCTGAGCCGTCATCTGTCCCTCTCACTGCTCTCTCTCCCGGTGCGTTTCACGCAAGCTACTACTCTCCTTATCGATCGACTCGCCCAACGTGCTATTACTGCGGCTATCGTGGTCACATTTCACCCTTTTGCCGCAAGCACCAGCAAGACGAGCGTCGAGGGTACGACATACGCAAACGGGACTATTCCGCAGGAGCCTTGTACCAGGGTCGCCGTTATTCGTCACCGCCGCGTCGGTATCCATCTCCGCCAGCATCGGGTGAACTGCGCAGTAGTCATCGATCAACCCGACGCCGTTCACTGTCGCCCTACCATTGCTCCTCTTCTCCTTTTCAGCCTGCTTCCCTCGATTCTGATCGACGTCTGAAAAACTAAGCGATGCAGTTTTTGGAGGACAAACTGCATTCCAACACAGGACTACAACTCTTCCAGCGCGCCCATACAATATGATTTCACTCACAGTTGAGAGAGTGGACGTTGATGCTTTGGTGGACACTGGGGCTGCGTTTTCTGTCATTTGTGTTGATTTGTGTGCCCGTCTTCGAAAAGTCATGACGTCTTATGATGGACCAACACTGGTTACAGCCCAGGGAACAATTATTCGCCCTTCTGCTCTCTGTACTGCCCATGTGCTAATCAACAAAATTCTTCATCATATAGAATTTGCTGTGCTCTCCCTATCCCCGTGCTCCCGCGAACTCATTTTAGGCTGGAACTTTCTTTCCTATGCTTCCGCGGCTATTTGTTGTGCACAACGTGTCGTCCATCTTACTGACACAGACCATTTGCTCAATGACGAAACCTACAGGCCACTTCGACTCATTGCTGCTCTAGACATTGAGTTACCACCATACGAACATCAATCAGTCACAGTTTTGTCGAACGACGTCGACTCTGGTGACATTTTGGTCACTCCGTCACCCTGTTGCCTTAATAAAGGCATAGCTCTCGCATCAGGTGTGGCTCACTTCAACAATGAATCAACTGTCCTCGCTGCTACGAACACCACACCAGATAAAATTTTACTACCGTGGGGCACTACTGTCGCCTGCGTTGCCGATCTGGAGCCTGTGTGCGTCGTGCCTCTTACTCTGTTTCCTCTAAAGGCTATTCTGCAGATCATGCTGCTTCCTCGGCCTTTACAGCAGCCATCAACAAAGACTTGACAGACTCACAGAAGCAGCAGCTGCTTGATTTGTTGGAAAAGCATGCAAACTCTTTTGACGTTCATTCATCCACCCTGGGCCAGACAACCGCTACAGCACATTGTATTCAGACCGACAGAATATCCATTGTGCACAGCCGTCCGTTCGTACCGTGTCTCTCTAGCCGAACGAAAAATCATTGAGGAACACAAAGACGATATGCTGCAACGGGAGATAACCCGACCCTCAACTAGTCCTTGGTCTCGTTCTGGTGCGTAAAAAACACGGTTCCGTACGATTTTGCGTCGATTACCGAGCACTCAACAAGATCACTAGGAAGGACGTATACCCCATGCCACGCATTGACGACGCCCTCAATTCCTTACAAGGTGCTGAATTCTTTTCCAGCCTCGACTTGCGTTCCGGCTATTGGCAAATCCCCATGCACGAAGATGATAAAGAAAAACTTCGTTTGGAACCCCGGACGGCCTATACGAATTCAATGTTATGCCGTTCGGTCTATGCAATGCGCCCGCAACTTTTGAGCGCATGATTGACACCGTGCTGTGTGGCCTGAAATGGAAGACTTGCCTATGTTACCTCGATGACATTGTTGTCTTTTCATCGACGTTTCCTAAACATCTGCAACGCTTGGACGAGGTCCTGACTTGTCTTGCGGGTGCTGGTCTTCAAATTAACACCAAGAAGTGCCATTTCGCCAGCAGATCTATCAAGGTCCTCGGTCATGTTGTGAGCAAGGACGGAATTCGTCCAGACCCTGATAAAACTGCTGCGGTGCTTCACTTCCCTCGCCCTGACAAACCGAAAGATTTGCGAAGTTTCTTTGGTCTCGCCTCTTACTTTCAGCGATTCATACAAAACTTTGCCTCCATAGACACACCACTCCATAAGCTACTTGCTTCCGGTACGCCCTTTCAGTAGTCTCAGGAATGTGAATCGGCTTTCGACAGGTTGAAGAGTGCCCTCACGACCGACCCTGTACTTTCTCATTTTCACGATGATGCATCGACCTTCCTGCACACAGACGCTAGCGGCCGCGGTTTAGGAGCCGTGCTCCTGCAACGCGACAACTCTTCGCGAGAGCGAACCATTGCATACGCCAACCGCGTCCTCTCCGCAGCCGAGAGGAACTACACGATCACCGAGCAGGAGTGCCTCACGATTGTTTGATCAGTGCAGAAATTTAGTGCAGGCATTTATAACATGCTCACTCCTTGTACCTCTTCGATAATGTATAAATTATGGTGCCAAAATACACAAGATGCATTACCTACAATACTGTTTTAATTATAATCTAGTTATGCAATAATAGAATTCTCCCACATTACTCACACTGAATAGTCTGATGTCAGCAGGCACACGATCTCCTACATTAAGAATAACAATATCACCAGGCACGAGATTCTTTGCAAGAAATGTTTCAGCTTGGCCCCCTCTTAGGCTGCAGAAAAAGAAAGAATATATATTGCATTATTCACTTTAAACAAACCACTGATATGAGTGGATCAAACTACAGCAAACACCTCAGTTTTCACAGCAAAACAATCTTTTGGAGAAATTATCAATTACAAATTTCCCAATGCAAATATTTACGTCTAGCTATAGCAGTATTCCCATGTTTTTGAATGAAAACTGATATATGTACTATCTGCATTAAATGAAACCTGAACAGCAGCAAGCCTTCACGATGGCATAGTGCATAGCCGTCCACTACCACCATGGACAGGCACACAAATACATATGCCGAGAGATGCCGAACAGGATGTGCGCTCCTATCAATGATGATAACTGGACAACGTGCACTATACCATCGCGAAGACTTGCCACTGGTCAAGTTTCATTTAACGCTGATAGTAAATATGTATGCTTATGCTTTAAATATCCCAAAAATGAATTTATAGAATTAACTTATCTTACTTTTCACAGTGAAGGGGCATAGAGAAACACAGCAAATGTACACCCTATCGTAGAGGTCATCTATAGCAGCCTCAGAGCCTGCCATAAATGACCTGTACATATTTATTGGAATCTTATATTATGGACTAAGTGGTGCCCACTCAGCACATCATCAATGTGCTAGTGCTGAACTGTGGGTGTCTGTACCTTGATTTCAACAAAATGTAATGCAGATAATGAAATGCATGGTGAGGAGTAATCAAGAAAAGTGAAAGGTGCTTAAAACTAATTTATACCAGAGTAATAGCATAAACTCACGGAAATAAGAGCACAGGGGTACTCATACACATTGCATCACATATAAATATGTTAACAGGCACCACACTGCCAATGCACTCTTGTACAAATTTTTATGCGTCACATGAGCTTACCACAATACTCAAGTGCTGCTGCGCAGAACACAAGCAGATTCTTTAAAATTAAATTTAAAAAAAACACACCTTGTTTGTACAGCTTCGGCTTGCATGATTGATCGAAACAATCGTGTTGTCATGATTAAAGGTTGTTGTTTTAAAATCTGTGGTGACCTTTGATGATTATTTGCCCACATTAGAGTCAGTACATGAAGCTTTCGCACTTTCACAAGCTGCCAGCCTCCAGATTGCAAGAAGTGGTCTACAAGCACAGGCTGAGTCGAACAGACACAATGGACAGTAAGCTGCACTTGTCGAGCAATGACAACTGTGCAAGCTCATCAGCATCTCCTTAATTCATAATACCATCTGTTCAGCATTCAGGGACTAGCCCTGGGATACTTTTTTTTTTTTTTTTTGAACAACAAAGCACTCTACTGTTTGCTCTCATGCCATTTAACATATCACTACCAGTGGAACCCCAATTATACGACTTTCAGAGGAGCACGTAAAACCATTGTATAATCCAGGCATCGTATAAACAGAAAACTAAAATTATAGGCAGTGATACTGAGCCTTGCCCAAAAAACGGGTAAGACAGCCTAAATAAACGCACGGCATGACCTTGTGCCTCTGCAGGAAGGTAAATTAAAGAATTCTTGCCAGTGGCAGCTAATGGAAACATTGCTTAGTTGGAGGACGTGAGAGCATTATTCTAAACTTCAAACAAAAAAAAAAAAACAATTACAACCCGCATCTTTCTAACAATCAAAGTCCAAACATTGCCTGCGTGTGAAAATGAAACTGATACCGCATTGCCAACAGCCTCCCGTTGAAAAAGTTAGACACAGTGTCATCGCTACTACATAATGTCGTAAAATTCCATTGTGCGCAATTGAGTTGTACACATTGAAATTTGTTGGCTTGTCAAGTGCAACTAATGATGTCCAGCTGTTATTATAAACACTGACGTCAAGTGAAAGTAATTTGGCACAGTGAAAACAGCTGAGTCACGCCATCATGCATGCACAAGTCTGGGACAGCGAGTGAGACAAACACAGGAGATCAGCTGTATGTCGACCAGGAAAAGTTTCCACAGACCTAAAACGTGAGAATATCAGCTTTTTGGCCGGCTGGCGCTACTCTGTGTGGATAGAGATTGACTAGGTAACAACCCTGGACACGTACGCACATGATCGAGGCGTATGTAAAAGTGCATGAACTTCCAAAAGAATAAATTTTCCATTCTAAGAAGCCATCCTGACTCTACTTTTCTAATCGTCAACCCAGGGAAATGCAAGTTCACATTTGGCACTCGTGAAAGTTTGCACCATGCTAGATTCGAAAAAAGGCAGTTTTTTCTTTTGAACGGAATCTGAAAGTCGTTGTATGTGGGGTCGATGTTAAAACTGCAGTACATTATTTCTATAGAAATTTTGCAGGAACCTAACCGATTCATCATAAAATGGGAGGCGTCGCGAAACCAGGAGACGTATAATTGAAGTTCCACTGCACGTACATTTGTGGGAAAATTAATGGCAGATTTAAAGTGCCTGTCTTTTATTTCTTCAAAAGAACACAACATCAACATGCAAGAGTGGCTTACATATGTAATAAACTATTCCCACACACATTAAAGACAATGCTTTAATGAACCAAATGAATGACTGCAACAAGGCAGTGAAAACAATCACAGTAGCGCTCGTGTTATTGTATATATATATATATATATATATATATATATATATATATATATATATATATATATATATATATATATATATATATATATATATATATAAGGGAAAGAAGTGTATACCTAAGGGCTCGATTGATTTGTGGGGTTTAACGTCCCAAAACCACCATATGATTATGAGAGACGCCGTAGTGGAGGGCTCCGGAAATTTTGACCACCTGGGGTTCTTTAACGTGCACCCAAATCTGAGCACACGGGCCTACGACATTTCCGCCTCCATCGGAAATGCAGCCGCCGCAGCCGGGATTTGAACCCGCGACCTGCGGGTCAGCAGCCGAGTACCTTAGCCACTAGACCACCGCGGCGGGGCAAATATACCTAAGGGCTCGTTTTCCGTGTTTTAACACAATAATAATAAGATCTAACAGACAGTAATGCCAAGGAATGTACAGGGGAAGTTATTAGAACCAATGGAATATAAATAAGAAGAAAGAAGAAAGAAAAGTGGATGAAAAAATTACCCAGCCGTGAGCACAGCTGCTCACGGCTGGTAAAGATCAAATTACAACTCCTTTTTAGGGGAAAAAAAAGGTAACTATGGTGCGACTTCAATGTGGTGGAACTATATAAAATGTGAAAGTACTTTCAATATATCCAACACTCAAAATGAGCTTAAATGCTAATATTGATGTCACAAAGTCCAATCAAGTTATATGACAACCAAAAGTGTGTCCAATGCAATATTAAATAAAGGTTCTCCTCGTATTGCTTGTTCATTAATTAAAATGCACATCTTGTTGTACTATATCATAAACTAACAAAAGCAGATTTTAAAAGTAACAATTGGGCTCAAAACAACTAACTCAAAACAGATAGACTGTGCACTGCTAGAAAGACTTACATAATATTTTGAGAAAGGGCCCTCCCTACGGTAAAAGATAATTTGACAAGATTTGGAGGGCAGCGGGCCTTGCTCGATCATGGGTCAAAATTTAAAATGACGACAGAAAGGCCACCAAAAATAAAGAATGCACAACCGTGCTTCTACTGAAATGCAATATTAAATACACATGCATTCACTGTTTTCATTTGTCCTCGTTGGGCAAATAAAAATAGTGAATAAAAAGTCATAATGGTAGTAGGGAAGAAGAGACATGTTTGTAATCTCCCAAAGAAGGGAGGGGAGTGCTTGCTCAGGAAGTGGCACTTGCTCAAGATTTCATGGTACTCACCAATGGCAGGCTGGAGGTACTAATTTGTTCAGCTCTTCAAGTGATTTTTCTGAACGATATTCCTGCATTAAAATAAAACAAGATACATACAAACAGCATGAGGAAATGAACCAAGAAAAAGCACTCCACTTATAAAAGGAGACATTTATACGCAAAGATCATGAAGAGGATGCGCGCGCCTGTCAACGGTGACAAGTAGAAGGCACGCACTATACTATCGCGAAGGCTTGCCGCTGTTCGGGTTTCATTTAATGCCGATAGTACACTGTCCTACAGCAAAAAAAAAAAAGTCTATAACAGGAGCAAATTTCTTTGTGGTAAGCCAGAAAGCATCAGGACCTGTGTCAAGTGGCTCCTGGTACACCCACCATGCAGTGCATTCTGTAAAATCTTGTCTGCTGCACCCACCTATGCATGGCGTTACTTCAGTGCAAGTTATTTGCATGCTGGTATGTTCGATTTAGCTTCGAAGTACACTTTACCTAGATTATCTTCAATAATGAAATGCACGGTTCTAAGTGCCACAAACCTCCAAGTTTCTCATTTTACTTCTACAAGACTAGGCAATACAGGAAAAATTTCTTATGCAATCAAATCTATCTTATACGCTTAAACTGATATGTTTTTTGTCATCAACATTTAAATCTTCATATGTCATTGTACTAGACACCCCATTATCCATGTTCTCACAATGTTCTCACAACTGATTGTTCTCACAATTTAATTTTCCCAACATCAGTACACAACAGAACGTACACTCACATGACGATAGTTATAGCGCGAGAACAAAACGACGACACAGAGACAAGAAAGTCCTTCTTGTCTCTGTGTCGTTGTTTTGTTCTCGCGCTATAACTATCGTCATGCCATACCAACTAGCCCAAGCTGCCACACTTCTAAGGTACACTCACACTCAACTGAATTATGAAAACATTAAAAGACCCCCGACAACAAGTCTAGAAACTCGAGATGCTAGTGTAGTTTGATAGTCCTGCACGCTCAGCCACTCTTGACCGATCATTAGTGGCGAGCGTTCCCTGCAAGATATTTTAATTTCAGGGCTAAGCGACATTTTCTGTGGTTTGATGTAGACAGGGCCCCCCCCCCGTGACGTTGCAGAGGTCAAGCAAGTATTGTTGTTGTCGGAGAACATTTGCGAGGCGTGCACAGTACATTGACTGGCACCCCGCAAAGACTATTGTTCATTACCCCTTTTGCTCTGTTGTTAGCTGCTTTCAAGGTGGTTTTGGCTGCTCATGCCAGGAGTGCTTTTATTTTTTATGAGGGGGACATGCTCGATTGAGTGATTGATATGAGGGGTTTAACGTCCCAAAGCCACCATATGATTATGAAAGACGTCGTAGTGGAGGGTTTTGGAAATTTTGACCACCTGGTGTTCTTTAACATGTGTCCAAATCTGAGCACATGGGCTTACAGCATTTTCGCCTCCATCGAAAATGCAGCCCCCGCAGCCAAGATTCCATCCCGCAACCTGCGGGTCAGCAGCCGAGTACCCTAGCCACAGACCACCCAATGGGGCGGGGGACATGCTCAAAGCACCCATATCGTTTCATTCTTCATCGCCTGCTAGTCTCCCTTTATTTGAAAACAGCTTTCAGCGTCACCGAAGCTTAAGCGCACATAGTCTCAGCCTCTGCCCCGCTGTGGGGCAGTAGTTTCTTAGGGTATTCAGGTGGGCATTTCCAAATGACGTGAAATCGTTCTGGATTAACAGTGCTAGCATTAAATATAGAATGCGTTAAAGCATTTACGATTCGATTTTGGCATACCAGATGCAAAGCTACAAATTACTGTAAAAAAAAGTCGCAAACAAAGCTTTCTCTTTCAGGGTCCTTTAAAGCCTGCCTAAATACTTTCTTCTTTTGCTTTCTCCGGTATGCCTAGGGTCAGCATGATTTTATCTTGAACAAATAATGTGGAGCCTAAACAAGCTTAGGAGACCACATAATTACTGGTGCAAGATTGTGACATCTAGTTGTCACATTTGGAAGCTGTTCCATTTCGTAATTTCCACTTTGTAATGAAATGTGAACATTTCATTGGTCCATGACTGTACATTCATGATGAGGATAGCAGGAGAAAAAAAGCTGTGGATCTGAATATACGGTAGTATGCAGTCAACATGCAATATGCAGCCAAACTGCCAAGCCATTCAAGTATAATTCTGCCAAGCCATTCAAGTATAATTCATCAGAAGGGGGTCATACAAATTCTATATATTCTGCAAAAACTTATCACAAACTTTTTAATATTATCTTTTCAGTATTATCAGATAATACATTCATTCAAATAAGAACAAGGAAATGCAGTGTAGGTTACTTTTAGGACTGGCTCAGGTTGACAAGGTTTAATATGAAAAGAAATGCAAGGAGTTGAGTGAAAATGCCAATCGAAAAACAATTTTTTTCCCCAAAATTACATATTCTGTTTTCAACTACTTTCACAAGTTTAGTTTTTCTACTTCCAAAAAAAAAAAAAAATTAAGGTTGTAGTTAAGCTCAAAGTAGGCTAAAATCACCTTCAAAAAGCACAAGATCACTATAAAAAACAAAAAAAGCTCGTTGCCTAGAGTTCCCTGAAAATTGTCCCCTGGCTGCTTGCCATTGAGTTTTGCATGAGGAGTTCCCCAAAGCCACAAGCTCAAAATAACTATGACTCCAAAAGCACTCATAAAGGAGGAAATAATTTTCCACAAAGGTGAGCTTTCATGATCATTTCCACAAAGATGATCATTTCCACAAAGATGAGCTTTCATTTCTATACTTAAAACCCGTTTTTCTCTAGAATCAATTCCAGGCAATTTCTTGAGCTTGGACGTCATGTTTTTGGTACTTCTGATGCCCAGAACAAGATGAAATTTTTCCCACATATTTCTTAACATGAGACATGTGCAATTATCCCGTTTAAAGCGTAATTATATTTATAACATTATTATGGACTTAATGTAAGCAATCAGTATAGACTGAGCATTTAACACTTCTCACATTAAAACTGTTTTCTTTCATTTAAATGTATTATACACACTTTCTTGATAGCTATTTGTATTCTACAGTTTATGTAGAGTAAATATGAGCCATTAGTGACTATTATAGAACTTTAGAGGGCAGAAACAGTCAGTCCAAAAGGAGCTACTATATCTCACACATCGTTATAGTACAAAATGAAAACTATGCAACTTACTATAAAACTGATTACATACTTGAAATCAGCATAAAAGCTTACGTAAACAGCGAAAATTTCATGAATTTAAGATATAAATTTAAGATTATTTTTCCAATAGCATCTTCTTTTAAGTGACATCACAGTGTATTGAGGACAACATCAGGATAAATAAGCTTGGGGGACAAGCATCTTCATATTCTGTATTTACAAACCTGAATGCTAACACTCTTTTTCAGAGAATTAGAAAAGTGACACCATGTAAGCGTTTAATTTTTGTTACACCATTAAAATAACACCATGTAAGCTTTTCATTTCTGTTAAATCATTAAAAACAAGTAATATTTGACATGAGGGCTAGTAGGCCAAGCTTTTTATAACAGACAAAAGTGCGATGTAGGTCACTTTTACTTTACAAAAAGATGAAACATTTGACTGGATTGAATTGATGAATCTTAAGCTAGCGTAGGTGGGAAAGTAGCATCACTGTTATAAACCACATAACGATAGGCATCAATGCTATCAATTAAGCCAATAGGCTGTTAGTATGATCCATTAGCAATAGATAATGGTCAAGAAATCAATACAAGCCTGATGTGAGTCAATTACCACCAAGACTATAACTCTCCTCATGAGAATACGCTCTATTATTCAAATCACCTACCGTAAGTTAGAGAATTTTGGGTTACTGCCATTACACAGACAAATGCCAAATAATTTTTTATATGAAGCTAACAATATGTGCACAAGGTAAGGGCTATTTGGTCCCCAAAAGTTACATATTTGCTAGTGAAAGTTTCTAACAGCAGAGTGTTACGACAGGCCTTTGCAGGCACCGGAGATCTGGGATGAAGATGTCGAGGCAGGAGGAGGTCGAGCTTTACAAAGAGGGTTTATTCACATTGTGTAAATGGCGAGCTCTCTACAGGACACTCTCTCGAACGTGGGGCCCCTCTACATCGCTCTCCCAAATGAGCCAGGTATAAAGGGTACATTCTCCCCAGATCCCTAGATCGGGGAATGAGTGCAGACGGCACAGCCTAATCACGTGTTACAATGTTACACACAACCTGCAAGGATGGCAAGCATACAGGGCCCACGTAAACGTTTAATATTGAGGCGTGGTCACTGTACTCCAATGCGGCACGAACGAGGCTTTTCCTCGTCGTGTGTCGCAAGCTCACGACATCATACATTAAAAGGGCCGCCACAGTAGCTCAAAACAAAGTGCTCGCTTAAGTAGCGGGGCGATTTGTAGCTGCCGCAGCTGTCCTCCCTTCCAAGGAAGATGCCGCATTTGTCGTCATCTCGTCAAACGGCTTACAGCATCGTGGTGGTACGATGCCTCACCCTCTAGCTAGGAGGCACAATACATGGCGGATATAGGCCGCCAGCCGATCAGCGACTTGATTGAGGATCAAAAGAACCCCGCTCCCTTGTCAGCCGAGGCACCAGTGGCAACAGCTCGTCTGCTGGCGGGAAACTCAACCGGAGGGTGACCAGCTGCTGGTCACCCTCAGGTCACTGCCCATGACCAGCCAAGGACTCTTTCCTGCTCGTCCCTCGTGGCTCTCTTCTTGAGAATACGCATACATACACACAACCACAGGCACGGGAGAGCGCCTTGCCAGCACTGAGACACATCGAGTCCGAAATATCATCTAAAAACAACCTTGAATATCATAAACACAAAGCAGCAATCGTAACGTTTCTCTGAGCTTTTCAAAATAATCGTCCTATTAAACTGCTTTCAAGAAAATTGACTGTCGAATGATGCACTCTCCATGGCATACCAGTGTGCCAGCGTTAGTAATCTGCTATAACCTACCATTCCTCATACTCATAAAATAAAGTTTTGTGCTTCATGCTATCTTTTGGTCCC